TTTTTTTTTTTTTTTCCTTTTTGTCTTTTTTTTTTTCGTGTCCGGCAACGGATCGCAACCCTCAGTGTCGCGCCCGTACCGGACCGGGACCGGCAACGGGATCGCAACCCTCAGTGCTGCACCTGCACCTCGCTCAGCCAGTGAGCAGGAACCGGTCTGTATGTGGGATCCGAACCCTCGGCGGGAGCGCCACCACACTCACAAGCGATGCACTGTAGCAGTGCGCCACCAGGCCGGCCCTGTTTCCTTTAATTTTTGCTAAGTGTTGGATTAGAGGGTAATCCCTGTTGAACAGATTATTTCCCTAATAAATATATTTTGGAAATGCCTCAGTAAAAGGAATTTTTCAAATCTTAAGGGAAAAAATACATCAGATAATAGTTGATAAAAAAGAACTTTAATGGAAGGCACTGTTGTCTAAAGTTCCATGGGGGTAACAGCCCACAATATGCCACCCTGCTGCCCTATTTCTCTGACACGCATCTGCCCCACCACAGACAGGAGAGGGTAGATTCCACTCAGCAGGATTTACACAGCAGTGCCCAGTGGTGCTATTACCTCCCAAAGCACTGATATTTTTCCTTAAAACAAAACAAAAAATGGCTTAGACTAACAACAGAACATCTCAGGGGGAAAAAAACAACTATAGTAGCTATTATAGCCTAGAAAAAGGTTTCTAAGAGATCCCATATGTATAAGAGGCCCAAGAAATATATTCTGTTGTCTGTTAAGTCCCCACGACAAGAAGGGTGTAAAGTTATGTCCTTGGTTCAGACCATGCTGAATGAGAAGTTACCAGCTACATGCGTAAGAGGTTCACAAACCAAACTTCTGTTTGCCACTTGATGATTCAAAAACACTCAACTGCTTTTACCTCAAGGATGGTATCACAAATTCTTAAGCATGTCTTCATTTACTCTCATTAAATACTTTTAATATTGGAACCTTAGGAAAACTGGATTCCTGATTTATGAGAAGCCAGTAGCTTGTCTTTTAGGCAAAAACAGGTACTTTGCTCTTCAGTGCTAAAAGAAACTTCATCTGTTTTTTGCAGTAACTTTTTTTTAGGATAACTGTTCCTTCTACGGATAGTCATCAGCAAAACACCTAAAAGACACATTCTCCCAAGTTCTTACCAAAAATTCATGTAAAGGAAAAAATCATGAAAGCAAAACGTTGCTTTTAGTAGATAAAGTGTTATTTATATACATTAGGACAAGTAATCCATTCAGGGTTTTAAGAGTTTTAAAAACTAAATCACAGTACAGCTGAATGAATGGGGTGGTTCTGATGAGGTATTATTTTGACATTTTGGTCTCCGAAGGTGTTTCCCCAGTATCCAATGTCTTCAACAACCGGAAAAGGCCAGCAGCTTCTCGTATCCTACTGAATTCAATACAGAATGCCTGCACTTCTATAAACAAGTCCTGCACATTAATAATTTTGTTACGGATCAAGGATTGGAGAAAGACACATACAAGACGCACCAAACGATTCTGAAAAAGAAAAAATAAATTTTAGTGTGTCCAATTTCCTAGCAGGTAGTTATAAAATGCACAAACATTCCTATTACTCACCTGCATATATTTATCCTTGATTTGTTCACAAGTAGAGATACAATTTGATATATAAAGATGAATAAATTCAGGAGGTAGATCAACAGCTGTAGTTAGTCTGTTTCATAAAAGTTAGAAAATGTGGACTATTAATTTTGTTAACACTGAAAAAAACAACCATAAAATATAAAATTTCCTTTGGTCATTTGGTGAGAATTCCTGATACATAATCCAATTCCCTAGTTTTAAATATACTTAGGCACATAAACCTAAGAGTCACTCCCACTTATTCACAAATAACATCTCTTTTTATGTCTGTGCTTAGCATTACACATCATAATTACTCATTAAGCAATTTTTTTTTTAGCATTATGTCCCTGAGCATTCTTGGCTGAATCATAAGTCATGGTCTATCATCTCCCAAGCTCCAGTAACCTCAGTAGTTATATGCATTTAAGTAACATTTACTAAAGCCCTATGACATAGAAGTGCTATGAGAGGCAGTGTGTTTGTGAGGAAGGTCTAAGTTTATAGTACAACATACAACCTAAATGCTAAAATGAAGGGTTTGTAGAAAGAGCAGCATGGAGAAGACTTTCCCAAGCCTTAAAAGGGCAAGTGACTTAAACTAAAACCAAAGGAGAAAAAGCATTCTTGATAACTGAGTAATCTGGGCAAAGGCTTGGAATCTGGCATTAGCACAGCATATTTAGGAACACAGCAGAAAAGACTTGGCTGGGATGTAACAAAAGACATGGTGGTGACTCAGGATCAGACGTCAGAGTCTTTAAGACACTGGTATTTTCCAAAGGATTATGTATAGACTTTTAAGGAAAGGAAAAAAAAAAGGGTGGGGGTGGGAATTCCATGCTCAGTTAAATATTTGGGAAACTCTGGGTCATGCTAAAAAGGATATGTTATTGTAAAATATGCATTTCCAAAAGAAGATTAATACATGCTGCTTTTTAAAAACTTATGTGACCCTGAAACTTTTTTCCATGGGGCACGGAGGAACTAGTGCTCCAGGGAATTACCAGCATGGGCCACTGTGGCCACTTGAGATTTGTGTTTGGCAACAAGCTTACTTCAAAACTAAGGGTAATTGCAGATGCTGGTGGGGGGGTTGGGGGGACAAAAACAGGGCCTTGTCCTTGAAATTCTGACACGAGGGCCAAATGTCTGGTGAGGACAATAACTGCTACAGGAATACATTGAAGGGGACAAAGTGAACGCTGAGAGCTGGGTCATGTGAACAGAATTCAGCCACTGAAAGAGTGAGCCGACTTAACAGAACAGGGAAAGGCTTGAACAAGGAGAGGAAGAAAGGAAGCAGTGTGCCTGCCACAAGCGGCTGACCATTCTGCCAGTGATGGGGGATAAAGTTAAAAATGAACGTGGAAACCTCATGCTTCCCTCCTCTGCTACCCCTAAGAGAACGCATTCTCCTCCTGCTTGCACTCAGCTTCCAGCCAGGCTTTTTTCACCAATTAAGTTAAAAGGACGCAATCTTCAGTTCAGTCAAGTAGGCTTTTAAAAATCTCCAACTTATAAACAGGTGCTCAAAACATGTGCTTGAACTGAAGTTTAGTTGCCTGGCCCTCAGAATGGATTTCCCCATACAGTAGAAGGACCATGTAACTTATCATCCAAAACAGGACACCACAAGGACGGGAGCTGGGGATATGAACCCTAAATGGGGACGATCTCAGGCAAACCTGGACCTATGGCCACCCAGTAAGTAAACAACTTAATAAAATAGCAGGCTCCCAAGCTAACCCCCTCAAGCCCACATAATTCTTAATTTACCTAAAATATGTTTGTCAGCAACACTGCACAGAGCACGTCAAGAAGGGAATGCATTTTGTCTCCAAGACAGTAGGGTTGAGAGATTGGGAGTCCAAGAAAGTTTGGGAGTAAGCACGGGGAATCTCTCTGAGGGCATTCCTAGAATTCTCTCAGCTCTAACACCCACACTTTTCCATGCTATAGCTGTTAGTCACTAAGAAAAAATAATGTCATGTCTGTATTTGTACAGGGATAAAGAAGATGCAACTGTGTATAGGGAAATGTCAGCAATTAAGTTTCATTTATGCTTCCATTAACGATAAATAACTCCGAAATCCTACCCTCAGGGTTACTAATGGATGCTAAATTCACATATAATGAACACTGAAGCCTCAGATTATTTTCGTGATTGGCTTGTTAATTAAGCTAACAATATAAGAGAAAATAAAAACCTATTATAGTTTTTCCCTCCTGACCATTTCATCAGGATCCATACATCCCCACACATTTGATCAAATATGGAAACTTACCGATTCACAACTTCCATCGAGTGTAAGGACATGTCCATATTGACCAGGACAGAGAAATACTCAGTGATCTGGCTCGACTGCATTAATTTCAGCAACATTTCTATAGCCACTAGAGGGTTGTTTTCCACGAGGTCAGGAAGTTTGGCTGGAGTGAGGCCAATATGATAAACAAGTTTGGGGTCTTTTTCCAACTCACCAAGGAGCTAAATACAATCAAATTTTTAAAGAGAGAGAAGTTCTTAGGTCAAATTAGAAATATTTTTCCTGCATCCAAAAAACAAGTCTTTTACACAAAAAGCTTATAAATCATCTGCATTGAACCAACTTCATATATTTCTTCCCTCAAACCCATGATCATCATGTCTTGACATTTTTAATTTACATCTGAATTGTGTAGACACTAATCTATAAGTATGATTCCTCCTCTTGGACATGAAACCAGTCTCAGTATTGTCTGGTTGGATACAATATTGTCAGACTGTAGCAATATCATCCTTAAGTCCCTTGTAGATTTTTTTTTCTGTCATCTGCTATAACCAAAAATAATCTTAATTACCAACTAGTTCTCCCAAAAAGCACAAACCATGTAGGATTAAGAGACATCAGCAAAACAACAGCCCCACCGGCCCCACCCAGGTAGAGAGCAGCACTCCCTGAGAAGGGGGTAGGACAGAAGGCAGGACAGCCGCCCTGCTGCAGTCATCAGACCTGCACAAGTCATCAGCGTGCAGGATTTCACAGTTCAAGTCACACCCACACTTTGTAATTCAAACAGGTATCCTCAAAAACATTTTTTCCTGCCAAATGAGTAGTTTTTCTTTGAAGTTTTCAATACTTTTTTCTCTACCTATTTGTATGTTCCACAGTGGACTGTTTCAGGATGGTCTAATATGCAAAACCAACTATAAGGATAGCTATTAATAACCTGAATTTGAAAACAATATTTTTGATGGTAAACTGGACAGGAGATGTCAATATCTCCTGACAAGTTCTAACTTAAAAGTACGCAAACAATAAAATTCACCAACCAGAAACTTCCCACAAAGATGCCTAGCCTTGGGCCGGCCCGGTGGCGCACTGGAGAGTGCGCCGCTTGGGAGTGTGGTGGCGCTCCCGCCGAGGGTTCGGATCCCATGTGGAGACCAGTTCCCGCTCACTGGCTGAGCGCGGTGCAGGCACGACACCGAGGGTTGCGATCCCGTTGCCAGTCCCCGGTACGGGTGCGACACCGAGGGTTGCGATCCCGTTGCCAGTCCCCGGTACGGGTGCGACACCAAGGGTTGCGATCCCGTTACCGGTCAGTAAAAAAGACAAAAAGGAAAAAAAAAAAAAAAGATGCCTAGACTTTCCCTGAGGAGAGTGGACCAGTCTTATACTTGGGCAGAAGCTATTTTTAATCTCAAATCCACCATGAACCAGTTGTGCAATGGGGGTAGTTCACCTTCCCTGGGCCTTGTCTTCCTCCTCTATAAAAGTGATGGATTTCGGACATGACCGGCGCCATTGTGCACACAATAAGCACAAAATAGCCACTCCAGCACCAAACCCCTGCCCCCTTTCCTTTATGAGAAGCCTCCTGACTTAAACAGAAATCCTCTTGCTTTTGTAAGGGCGCAGTTCTCCACCCTGGCTGCATAGTTTCCACATTAGCATAATGCCCCTCCTTGACGGTATCAGCCAGCCCTTGGTGCCCTATATAAGCTCTCCTATGCCTACACCTGGAGCTGTTCCCCATTTTGAGGGCAGCCCCAGGCTTCCCGTCACCTTGAGCGCAGCCTGGCAGATTCTTTTCCTTTAATAAAGCTTGAACGGTACCCGGCATCTCAGCTCACTTTCTTTCATTATGGTGCTGAAACCCGGGAATGGTTTTGGCCGGACCGTCAGACAATACCTTCTCTCTTGGGATGATTGGCCCTTCCCAACCACCCTTCCTGGACCTGCCGAACTGGGTACACTCAGGACTCTCTCTTTTTGCCGTTTAAGACCAACCCATCCAACATCAGCCTCAATTCAGGGTGAGTCATGGGTCAGTCCTCTCTCATCTCAGGTTCCCCTGACTTGTGCTCTCTCTCTCTCGTTCTCGAAGCCCAGGCGCCTGGCCAAAGGAACCTTTCTTGTACCCCCCAGCTATTGGAGGACACTCCTCTAGCTGGTCAGTGGCTTTTCTCTCTCAAAGAGAAGGTGGACAGCAAAAAGGATGCACTTTGTTGGCACTCTTCTTATACGAGGACTGCCCATTTCCTTTCTCACCCTTGAAATGGGATCCTCAGTATACAAACCTAAACGTCTTCTTTTCTATTGTACTCCATTCTCTACACCTCCGCCTCTGGGCTGTCTCCTGGACAACCTGTCCACCTCCAGGGAGACATTAAAACTCAAACACCTCATCACAATGGATCCCAGTGGCCACAAGATGGCACTCTAGATTTAGATACTCTCAGAAATTTAGACAACTTTTGTCACTGGAATGGCAAAAACTGGAGAGATTCCTTGTTCAGGCCTTCTCCTATCTCTGAACGCATTCTTCTGTCAAAACTGTCCTACGTCTCAAATTCTCCTAGCTCATGCCCAACTTCCCCTTTCTGGACTTGGATTAATCTTTTAATCCATCAGACTACTATGCTTCCTGTACGGGCCACCTCGACTACCTCAGTACGCTCAAAATCCTTCACCAGACCCTTCACCTTTTCTCTCTCTTTGTCCTTAGCCACCCAACCCCCCTCTCGTCCCCCTTCGTCAGGTGACAACCCTACCTCAGCTCCAGCTCCAGCTCCAGATATCTCACCCAGTCGTATGATCTCCCCTGGCACGATATTTTTATGATCCTCACTACTACTTTGTCCCCCAAGGACAGGGAACAGGTCTGGATGACGGATCGACAACAGGCAGATGAGGTACATGCTCCAAATAATAGGCGGCCTATGGGAGCCATTGCTGTTCCTTGCACAGACCCAAATTGGGACTACCAGACTGGCCACGGGGATCGGATATCCAGGATAATCTGATCACACACCTACTTCATGGCCTCCAAAAGGCTACTCACAAGTCAGTCAACTATGACAAGCTTAGAGAAATCACACAGAGATCCACTGAAAATACCAACGAGTTCCTAACCCACCTCTCTGAGGCTTTACATAAATACACATGTACAGACCCAAACTCCTCTGCAGGCGTGGCCCTCTTACACTCTCATTTCATTACCCAATCTGCCCCTGATATTCAAAAAACTATAAAAGAGATCAGGCCAAACACCAGCTCCTGGCTAATGCCATCCAAGGCTCACATACTCCAAAGTCGGCTGCCTATAGAGGCAAGCCACCTGCGAACTGCTTCAAATGTAGTCAATTAGGCCACTCAGCATGGGCCTATCCTAACCCCAGGCCTCCTCCCGGGCGCTGTCCTCACTGTAAACAGCCAAATCACTTGGGGTTTGACTGTTCCACTCGCCAGAGAGGGAGTGGCCCAGTCCCCAACCCACAGCCTTTGGCTTCATGGCCATCAGTACCAGAGCTTCTCAGCTTTGCCCAGGAGGAGGACTGACAATGCCCAGGGCCCAAGGCCCCCATGGAGATCACCATGCGTGAGCCCAGGGTAACTTGCCTTGTAGCAGGTAAGCCAATCTCTTTTGTCATCGATACAGGGGCCACTTACTTTTACTCTGCCTGAATATGCAGAACCAACCATCCCATTCTCTATCACAATAGTAGGGGTCATGGGATCAGAATACCACCCACAGACCCTCAACCCCTTTCCTGCACCCTATATCACACCCAATTCACACACAAATTCTTAATAATGCCTCAATGCCCAACCCCCTTACTGGGATGGGCCATTCTTTTCAAACTCAAAGCTACTCTTACCCTAAACACTTTAACTCCAGCCACACTACTTCTGTTACAGGCCACACCAGACCTGGCCCCTGGGGCTTCCACCTTCCCCTCCCCATCGGACAAAGTTAATCCCATAGTAGAAGACACTACTCCCTCCACTGCTATGCACCATTCTCCTATCCTTGTTAAATTGCGGAACCCCTCTTTGTTCCGTGATGTCCCACAATACCCCATCACTAACAAACACCTAATAGGCTTAAAACCCGTCGTACACAAACTCCTTTCTTCTCATCTCTCACGGCTTACCCCTGATACACCCATCCTTCCAATTATAAAGCCTAATGGCTTGTACCATTTAGCACAGGACTGATCCTGACACGCACCATTCCCAGCAACTTGCTTAGACAGTACTACCTCAGGGGTTTCAGGATATCCCCCCCACTTTCCGGCCAGGCCTTAGCTCAAGACTTATCTGAACTTCCCCCAACCTCTAGCACTTTAATACAATCTGTGGATGACCTCCTGCTTTGTAGGCCCTCCTATGAGGATTCACAGGCCCACACTGTTGCTCTCCTTAATTTCCTGGCCTCCAGGGGATATCGAGTGTCCCCCAGCAAGGCCCAAATTTCTTCTCTTTAAGTCACCTATTTGGGAGTCCACCTCACCCCCAACACCAGAGAAATAACAGTGGATCACAAAAGTCTAGTTTCTGAACTTCCTACTCCTACCACAAAGGGTGAAATACTTTCTTTCTTGGGGCTTGCAGGATATCTCCACGTGTGGATTCCTAACTTACAAAACCACTTTATGGGGTAGCCAAAGGGGATTCTGCCATTCATTTAGATCCCACAGAGCCCATTCATTCTCCTTTCCAGCGATTAAAAGCCGCTCTCCTTGCAGCCCCAGCTCTCTTTCTCCCAAAACTCTCTCATCCTTTTATCCTATGCGTCACTAAAACCCAAGGATTGGCAGTCAGGGTTTTGGGACAAGAGGCAGGAGATATTCTCTCCCCTGTTGTGTACCTCTCTAAACAACTAAACACCACAGCTTGAGAATGGGCCCGTTTATGGGCCTTGGCGGCAGCCACCCTTTTAACACAAGAAAGCTCTAAACTAACTTTTGACCAAACAATCAAGACCTTCTCAGCCATAAGGCCATGTCAATTCTCTCCCCTTCCTGCCTACAACTTATCCACCTTACTTTCATTGAAAATTCCCAGTTCTCCTTTAAACCTCGCCCTCCCTTAAAATCCAGCCACTCTCATCCCAAAACACTCATGACCCTTAGAACACAATTGCAAGGAGGCTTTAGACTGCTTTCTCAATCCCTTTCCACACATCTCCCCACATCCCATCATGCAGACCCAACATACATGGTTCATAGATGAGAGTGCCACCTCCACACCTGCCCCCTGGGCGGGTTATGCCATAGTAAATATAACACAAGCTATTGAGGATACCCCATTTCCCCAACATCACTTCCCAAGAGGCAGAACTCATTGCCCTGACCCACGCTCTCACCCTAACAAGTAACAAACAAGTCAATATATACACTGACTCTAAGTGTGCTCACCACATCCTACACTCCTGCGCAGCCATATGAAAGGAGAGAGGATACATGACCACTCAGGGAGGGCCCATAAAAAACAGACATCTTATCAAGATACTTCCTGAGGCTGCACAACTCCCAAAGGAGGTTGGGGTTATACACTGCAGAGGACACCAAACCTCCAACGACCCCATAGCCCAGGGAAACAAACTGGTGGATCCAGCTGCAAAACAGGCTGCTCAATCACCAGGCCCCCACTCTTCTTCTCCCACTCAGGTCCTTCTCATGGCCTCCACACCCTCACCCAATACACACCTCAAGAAATACAACACCTCCAACAGTTGGGAGCACAAAGGACAACTGGTATACTCTCTCCGGTTGTTATGTCCTCCCTACTACACAAGCTGAACAAGTCCTTTTAGATTTCCATAATTCAGTTCATATAGGCTATGAACCCCTACTACGCCTTCTTCAGCCCTTACATTACTCTCCCCACATGACCAAGTTACAAAAACAAATCACTCAAAACTGTCCTGTGTGTACTCGTTGCTCCAATCCTTTCCCACCCACCAGGCCAGAGGATACACTCCTGGCCAGGACTGGCAAATTGACTTTACTCACATGCCTCCCCACAAAAGGACACGCCGTCTTCTAACATTAGTAGATACCTTTTCAGGATGGACTGAGGCTTTTCCCTGCACTTCAGCAGTTAACGCGTACTCTCACCTCAGAAATCATCCCTCATTTTGGCTTGCCCCAATCACCTCATAAAAACACACCTCACCAATCTGTCCTTGTAACTTCACCTCCCTTGGACCCAACTTCTCCCTCTAGCACTCACTCATTTGCCAGCTGCCCCCACAAACTTATGCATGTCAGACCCTTCACTCTCACACCTCTCCCTTCCAGCTCATCACCTTTAGGCCAGTATCTCCCTACTCTTTCGCTCCTTAGGGATCTTCTTAGGGAACAGGCCAATCTTCTATTACCTCATCCTTTCCCCACCACCCCCTCAGACTTTAAACTGAGCCCAGGACAGCAAGTGTATATTAAAACCTGAATCCCAAAGCCCCTCTCGCCATGTTGGGAAGGGCCTTACACAGCACTTCTCACCACCCCCACGGCAGTAAAAGTACTAGGAAAGGCCTCTTGGTGTCACTTATCCTTGGTAAAACAAGCACCTGAGACTTTACCCAAAAATCTGTTAACACCAAGCCAGAGGGGTCCCTCTACTCAACCCCCAACCCGACATCTCCTTACACTTTGTCCATTTTAGGACCCACAAAACTGAAAATCTCCAGGACCTTCGCTCTTCCCCCAATCCCAGAAGAAGGATGACCTTTCCCCCTGTGATTATCCTCTCACTCTTGCAGGCCTGCTTCCCTTCGCACCCTTCCCATGTTTTTCCTCCTGTCTCAATGCTCCCCCTTACCTGGAACATGGAGGTTCCAGGTCCACAGGGACAATGCAGTCCTCAGCGAATCAGACTCGTCCCCGAGTGACTCATCTGTCTCCCACTTCGTGAGAAACTTTCTGTGGTCACCCCCTCCCTGTCGATGCAGCCCACAACGTTTCCACAAACGTCTCTTCGCTTTCCTCTAATCTCACCTCAGTGGGGACTGTCAGCGTTGTGCGGGGCCTGCCCACCCTCTGCCTCAATAACACCAAACACTACCACTCACTTACCCCCTCCTCATCCATGCCCGAAAACCAGAACATATTTCCTTTGTAAAACTACGTTATCCTGTTGCCTGCCCCCACAACGCGATTTCAATTGGTTTCGATTTCTTGCATATTCATTTGGCTCATCCCGACATCAATGTCCAGACAGATGGAGGGATGGAGACGGGACTGGAACTAACTTCAGCCCCTCCCTCTCTGGAAGTGCCCCTGCTTCCATAGGGCACTAATTGTACCTTTTAATTGGGGCAGGATCCTTCCTGCAACTGGAACTGGCAAAGCAGGCCCTGCTACTGCCTCTTGATTCTATTAAAAACTCTCAGAAGAACTAAGTACAGATAGCATTTCCTCCCATCAGCGACAGGTCACCTTACTCGCAACAGTCACTTTACAGAACCGTCGGGCCCTTGACCTTCTTACAGCTGAGAAGGAAGGCACCTGCCTCTTCTTGGGGGAGGAATGCTGTTATTATGTAAATGAGTCCGGGGTGATCCAAAATAACTTAAACCATTTAAAGGCAAGCACTGATCACCAATGCAAAGGGTTATAAAACACAAACACACCTGAGGGGTGGCCCCAGTCACTGAACCCTTGGATACCCTGGCTTATGCCCCTACTAGGACCCCTAACTGTGCTGGGACTCATCCTACTTTTTGGTCCCTGTCTCTTTTGGTGTTTCTCTAATTCCTTGCAGGAACGAATACAGCTTTTACCAACCAAAATTTCACCGAATTGTTCCTGTGAGGAGGATATCAGCCTCTCAGAATCAGCGACCCTTCCCTGGAGAAATACAGTCTCCCCACACGAAACCAAGACCCCGCCACCTAATTGTTTTGCCCGCCAACATAAATCTTTTATTTTTCCATATCTTCGCCCATCTCCAGCAGGAAGTAGCCTCAGAAGACCGAGACCTTTGCCCCCTTTCCCTTCTCCTTATACTTAAAAGGCGGGAATGATGGATTTTGGACGTGACCTGAGCCACTGTGCACACAATAAGCACAAAACAGCCACTGGTCTTGTCTTCCACTCCAGTGTCAAACCCCTCCCCTATTCCATTTATGAGAAGCCTCCTGACTTAAATAGAAATGCTTTTGCTTCTGTAAGGGCGCAGTTCTCCACCCTGGCTGCATAGTTTCCACATTAGCATAATGCCCCTCCTTGATGGTATCAGCCAGCCCTTGGTGCCCTATATAAGCTCTCCTATGCCTACACCTGGGGCTGTCCCCCATTTTGAGGGCAGCCCCAGGCTGCCCGTCACCTTGAGTGCAGCCTGGAAGATTCTTTTCCTTTTACAAAGCTTGAACAGTACCCGGCGTCTCGGCTCACTTTCTTTCAAAAAGGTTAAGAATTCCACTAACTCTTAGAAGAGTTCATGCCAGCTTAAAATGTAACAATGTGTGTCAAGTGGCTAGCTGGTACACAGCACAAACAGGGTGCCAAAAAATAAGACATGTCCTATCTCACCTCTCCTGGAGACAAACAGATCACGAAGAAATTTTCAGTCAGATTTTTTGCCCCACCAGAACAAAATTACCAAAAGGGAAAAAGGCAGAACAAAGCTTCAGAGATAAAAAACCTTTAAGACTTTCTAGTGCTGGCTCATGGTGACAGTATTAGATCATTTACCATTTTATGAAAAACAAAAGTAAACTCTTGACGGGTTGAGGATAAGAGAATGTTTTCAACAAATACATACCTGTGTTTGCTGTGGAGAAGATAAGGGGCTTTTGAAGGCTTTGGCCATGATTCGCTTGATCTCCACACCAGTGCTGTTCTTGACACACATGGACTTATCCCACTGGATCGCATGGTCAGGCTCCGTGGGATTCAGCCAAGCCAGTTCGTCCTCACAAATGTGGAGGGGAGGTGGTGGACGAATAAACTCTGGCCGAAAATGGCCTGTAACGAGGAGTAACATTTGACTGCTTCTGTCAGTAGCTAACATCTGCACAGACCTCACACGCACTGCACTTAACGAAGTACACCAGCGACTCTTTCAGTAAGGATAATGTGGTAAAACTGTCACAGTTCAAAATCAGAAGCAGGGGGCCGGCCCGGTGGCGCACTGCTACAGTGCGCCGCTTGGGAGTGTGGTGGTGCTCCCGCCGAGGGTTCGGATCCCACATACAGACCGGTTCCCGCTCACTGGCTGAGCAAGGTGTGGGAGCAACACCGAGGGTTGCAATCCCGTTGCCGGTCCCGGTCCGGTACGGGCACGACACTGAGGGTTGCGATCCATTGCCGGACACGAAAAAAGACAAAAAGGAAAAAAAAAAAAAAATCAGAAGCAGGAACGATAAAGAGAGTCAGGGTTTCACCAGAATACAAAGAAAATGAAAAAAATGATGTAACAGCATGATGCCAGAGAGCAAATCCATTCATTTTGGAGAGGAGAGGAAAGCATGGCCATGACCTGACAACTATGAATTCAAGCAGGACTGCTCAACAGAAAAGGACACGACTACTAGACTGCTAAGTCTTTGTCCTTTCTCATCCTATTCTTAGTGACCGCTATTTTGTTCAGAGACCATTAGGATTTGTACTAGTTTTATCTTTGCATCTTTTAACTTTGAAGTAACAAATTACGTGGAGATGAAATGACAGGAGAAAAAAAGTATCATTAACTTCAGATGTTTTCAAATGAATCTGGAGACTTTCATGAATCCTTAAATGCAAATTCACAATTATCATATTCATTTTCACAAAACAGTAGAAGTAGCACAGGAAAATGAAGTGACTCAACTCTTAACTACTGTATAAAACAAGACTGAGCCCTCAGTTACAAACCCACTACGCACAATTATCATATTCATTTTCACAAAACAGTAGAAGTAGCACAGGAAAATGAAGTGACTCAGTTCTTAACTATTGTATAAAACAAGACTGAGCCCTCAGTTACAAACCCACTACGGTAAATGCAGGCTAGGACTTCTGTGGAACCCACTTCACATCTCACTTTGGTTTCCACGTGGGGCAGGAGGCAGCTTATTCCCATCACGGATCCTAGCCCCTGCCAAGTTTGAGATCACTCTCTTTAGCTTATTGAAAACATCTGTTTTCACCACTTCTCGGCCTTTTGGCCAAGACCAAGTGAAAACATCTATTTTCTTCTAAGAATCATCACTTTACCTTGAACATCTCCACTGTCCCTTCACTGGCATCACCAGCAGGAGCATCTGAATCTCTCTTCAGACCAAGCACAGAAACAGATGAAGTGCTTAACACTTACTGAAAAGTACTGCTTATGTGAGGTGGGGACGCTGGAGTTCGGCTAGACTCACTTATTGTGAGTGACTTGCTTCTCATGTACCTTCATGGTGGCCCATACAATTGCAAGTTGTCTGAACAAATATTAAATAGGAACCATTACATGCCAGGGGCCTCCCACACACTTGTGACTAGCTGATACTTCAAATATTAAACCTGTTTATGCAAGAGATCTACTGTAAACCAAATGGAATAAAAGGTCACAGTGTAAGTTTCAAACTCATGGTGACACAATAATATGGAGAACATGTTCTTATCTCTAAGCAGAAAGCATGGCTTCATTATTCAAGCCACAAAGAAGAATAAAACACAAAAGATGCAGTTACATCATTTCAAATTCAACAGGTGTTTTCTTTGAGTTAAAGTAAATTAAGAGCTATAAGATCAGTAAAACTTTAAAATGGAGACGGTAACAATAGTGATGAGATTACTAAAGAGGTATAAAATAAAATAAGCTACAAAAATACTCATTTCAGTAAAATCAGAGAATTTCTATCTTTAAGTATATTTGTGATAGACATGTAATAAACAACTTGGTGTGTAATTTTTTTAATGAAGAAACATTTTCACTGAGTGTCCCTGCTATGTTCTAGGCAATTTCACTTTAAATTCAAGTTTAAGTAGCAACAAAAATAGTAAGATGTCGCAAAAAACTGAAAAGTCCCAAAGGATACTGACAGAATAAAACCAAGAAATAAAATTAATTTATATATACCTACTTTCAATAGGTGGTTTTGGTCCACTGACTAAAGCTTCCGTGATCTGAGAGGCAACTGAACTGTCAAATCCGGAATTAGAAGAATCTGGGTCTGGGTCACTGAGAATACTAGGAAAGCTAGCTTTACTCTGGGTTGGCAATTCAGACTGGCGTTCTGAAAAAGGTTAAAATAGGAGGCATTTTAAAATGAGGACACCACAAGGAGAATGAAAAGACAAGCTACTAACTGGGGAAAGCTAGCTGCAACACATGAAAACAAAGGGCCACATTCAATGTGTGTGTATGTATTTTTAAACTCCTACAATCCAATTAAAAAAAATTAAGAACCCATTTAAAAATGGACTAATGACTTTAACATGCATTTTACAAAAAAAGCTTGAATGGCCAATAAACATTTGAAAAGTTAATCCCATTAGGAACCAGGAAAACTTTTGTTAAAACACAAGATACTACTACATACCCACAAGACTGGCAAAAATTAACAAAATTGACATTATCAAACACAGAGGAGGATGTAAGGTAACTTACACGCTGCTACTGGGAATAAAAATGGCATGGCAACTTTGGAAAATAATTTGACATTTCCTAATAAAGTTTTACATGTGCATATCTTTCCACCTAGAAGAAACACTTCCACAGGAACCCCAGGAGAATGTATAAAAATATTCACAGCAATATTATCTGCATCAGTAGAATGGGTAAAGAACTCAGTGTCACGCCATATGAATATACCACACAGCAACAAAAGACAACCACGGCAGTTACGTACCGTCAACATGATTTCATCTCTCAAATACACCCAACAGAAGGAAAGTATAAAAATAAATACTGTATGATTCCATGTATATAAAGTTCCAGGGCGTGCAAAGTACGACTATAGGCATGCACAGGAGGGAAGGATATATAACAAATGGAGAATGATCACCGCAAAAGTCAGGTTAGTGATGCGGGTGAGGGTGGGCAGCAATTGGGAAAAACACACAGGGAGCCTCTAGGCCCCCAAAATATTCCATTTCTTAACCTGAATGGTGGTTACTCCAGGTTCACTTTTTATAATTCCTTAAAATGTAAATGCATGTTTTATGAAGTACCATATTTCACATTTTGTCATTTTAAAAGCATAGAAGGCTAAAAATTCCTGAATAAAGAGTTATAAAAGTCAATAAAAAACCATCATCCAAATCGAAAAATGGCCTGACACAAATGAAAAGATTCCTTAGACATATGACAAGACGTTCGACCTCACTCATTTAGTAAGAAAAATGCTAACTAAAATTATCCTGAGATTTTTTTTTCATCTCAGATTGCTGAAGTACAAATAGTTAGATAACATACTATTGATCAAGATGTACAAAAAAATTTAAATTGGCAAATTATGCAGTAAAGGAGTAAGTAGTAGGTGTTCGTCATGAGTTTTTAATAAAACCTCTGAGATGAACACTGTCATTGTTAACACGGTAAAATTCTGCCCCTTACGTTTAACTTGTCGGCTTTTTTCTTTAAAGTTAAAACACCAATGGGCCGAGCCCGTGGCACACTCGGGAGAGTGCGGTGCTGGGAGCCCGGTAGCGCTCCCGACGCGGGTTCGGATCCTATATAGGGATGACCGGTGCGCTCACAGCGCTCACTGGCTGAGCGCGGTGCGGCCAGTCTCAAAAAGGACAAAAAAAAAAAAAAAAAAGTTAAAACACCAACTGTATCATCCATAAAAACACCTTTAACCCACAGATCCCACAGTAAGACATCTGAATTTCAGGCTTCTGCCGGCTAGGGCAAGGGAGGTGTGTTTTTTTGTTTTTTGGGGTTTTTTGCACTTGTGAAAATGGATGGATTAGGGACATCTTCAATCTGGGTGTCTTAGACAAAAGCAAGCAGTCATCTTAGCCACTCTGCCAAATTTCTCAATCCTTACTCTAGGCACTTCCGAGGGTACTTCAAAAAGTTCATGGAAAGATTCATTTACCTTTTAATTCTATTTTTGCACAAACTTTTGAAGTACCCTTGTATTCTTCTCAGCACTTGACATACTTCAAAAACTTCCTCACAGGCTGACTGAAGTCATCACAAGTTGAAAGGGAGGTCCGATTTGATTGTCACGTTATTAAATACTAAGTTAGACTCATCAGAATATACATCACCTCTGTTCAGATGCCCATACCGGACAGCCACCAAAAAAAGAAATAAAGAATGTATATCACTGATGAAGGTAAGATGACTGAAATTGCCTATCATCTCTATATCCAATTTTCAAACTACCTTTGGTTAGGAAAATAATCATTTTATTTCTATTATTACATTATATCTGGCACTAGTGGCTAATAAGAACTTTTGTGTACCTTCAACCTTAAAAGTCTTAAAAAGATTCTCAGAAAATAACCATTGTTATACTGTTAATACCCAGTAGTTAAAAAGTGAGGTTCAGAATGTTCCAAAGAAAAAAGTTTATCAGAACTTATCACCTTATATAGAAGCTAAATGTCACAGATGTATGAAGTTTAAGAAGGATGGGCATTGTCAGAATTAACACTGCAGCTCACTTTATCACAAGGTCAAGGGTCACAAATCTGGCTATATACAAGTATCAGAATTTCCCAAATGAACCACTCTCAAGTGATAAGTGATAAGACCCATGCCTAGAGCAGGCAAGCAAGAAGTCTCCTCTTATCCTCCAGAACTTAGAGAAGCTCTCTCTCACCACCGTTCGAGAAGATCCTCCTACTATTTTCTGTCAGGACAGGGTGTTCGCTTCAAGAGCACTCATTCATTTGCTTGCATATGTAACACAAAACATACCAAACAATCTCAAAAAAGAAGAAAGTTGGAAGTCTCACACTTTCTGATTTCAAACCATAGTACAAAGCTACAGTAATCAAAACAGTGTGGTACTGGCATAAAGACAGACATACAGACCAATGGAATGGAATAACAAACCCAGAAATTAACCCTCCCATACATGGACAAATGACTTTCAACAAGGATGCCAAGGGAATAGCATTTTGGCTATTCAGAGTCCCTCAAGATGCCCTTGAATTTAAAGATGGATTTTTCTATTTCTGCAAAAAATGTTGTTGGGATTTTAACAAGAATGCACTGACTCTGTATATTGTTTTGGGAAGTACTGACACCTTAACAGTATTAAGTCTTCCAATTAAAACAATTTTTTTTGTTTGTTTGTTTTGCATTTTTTTAACCGGTAAGGGGATCATAACCCTTGGCTTGGAGCTATCTACACCACGCTCAGCCAGCGAGCGCACTGGCCATCCCCATATAGGATCCGAACCTACAGCCTCGGCGCTACTAGCGCTGCACTCTCCCGAGTGAGCCACAGGGCTGGCTCTAAAACAATTTTTTTAAAAAAACTATATTTTACCTAGCATTCTTCTAAATTTGGAAAAGCAATCAATTCAAGTAAAAACTGAAAATGAATTTACATGTTGTATTAGCATCAAAAAATAAACACTTCCATTTAGGATCCAGTACTGAAACTACTTTTTTTATGGAAGATACTAACCTTTTAGCACAGTTACAAAGACCTTCATTTTAAGTAGAGCACCTCAAAAAAGGGGGCCTCATCCTACCACACAATAATGCCCCAATCACTGATTCTTCCTTACCAGCCAAGGCTAACTGAAGTCCACTAATGTCCACAGACTGGCCCATGTTTCCGACGTCCATCAATGCAATCTGGCGAGGCGTCTTTTTGAAGAGTTCCCTTGGGGGTGCCAGCATCAGCTGGGAAAGAAAAAACTTTTCTGGTGGAGTTATAGGAGGTAAAAATCCTGTGAACAAAAATGTATAACGATTTCTCCAATGGCTACTTTTAAAACTTAACTTTAAACTGGTGAAATTAGTATTTGTTACTTGCTGTTTCAACCCACATATTTTTTGAAAATAAACTATAATTAAGTTTCAGTTAACCAAATATATGCTGTACACTTATTTATAAACTATGTAATTAAGTATGTCATTTGAACTTCTATGATCTGTGGCACTATTAATGAAACTTAAAGTTTTTGTAGCTATTAAGAACTCAATGTTCTGAAGTGCCTCAATTCCTACAAACGCTAAAGCTCATTTATACAAGCAAAAACATAGTAAAAACTATAGTTCTCAGAAATGTTTTTCTTTCTTTGCTGCTGCCAGCAACTGATGTAAAAGCTGAAAAGAGAAGGAAGCAATCACCAGCAACACGAATACACTTCACACACCTGCTTCAATACGCAGTGCAGCTATGAAATTCCCATAATGCTGAAGGTTCCTTCCCGTCCGTCTGTCCCATATTCACTTGCTCACCAAACCTATCTATCCTACTGCTTGCAATGTCACCAGACTGTGTTCCCTCAGCTCCATCCCCACGCCCCTCCTCTCTTGCCTGGACTACAGGACAGCCTTTTTGATTTCCCCAGCTCCCAGTTTTGACCCCTGCCCACCCTCTACCCAGTCTGCACTCCCCCTTACCATTTAGCTATACTGTATTTCTAGAGTACAAAGCTGATCATATTACTTAATCTGTTTACAATGAATTAAAGCCAAACTTCTACACCATTACAAGACCCCTCATAATCTGGTCCTGACTCATCTTCCTAATCCCACCTCTTGAACTCTCCTCCCATCCATGTACCCTACACTTCAATTGCACAAAACCTCTCAGCTTCTATGAATACACCCAGTTCTTCAACAATACAGGCCCACACTCTTCCCTCTCACCCTCATCTCTAATCAATATCCCACAAAAATATCACTCCCTCTGAGAATCTCTCCAGCTCCACAGGCAGGCAGTCATTCTTTCCTCTGTGCTACCAAGCAGGATTTTGTATGCGATGTCTAGTAGACCCCTTACCACACTGTGTTAACACTATGTTTGTCTCTCCAACCAAACTGCAAGCTTCTGGAGTGCGAGGAAGCCATATTTTGTACTTCCAGACACATGATCAACTCTGACTCTGCTCAGAATCAACAGAAAAGCTTTTTAAAAATACACCCATTACATGCTCGCTCTAAATGTACACTATCAGAAGCTCTAGGAGGGGGCTTTGGCACTGGTATTTCCTCTTCTGTGTATTTACACACCACCCCTACCTACTTTAACAATGGTCATGACTGGTAACACTTATTATAAATCCTTTTATTCGTCATAACAACTGTACCAGCTAGGAATTATGATGACCTGCATTTTACAGATGAGGAAACTAAGGCACAGAGAGGTTAAATAACCCATCCATAGGTTCCTTCCCTGGCAACTTCCTCCCCTTCCTTGGCAAATTTATGTTTACAGTGCAATCTGTGGACTACATATAGGTTTAGACTCAATGCATTTGAGAATAGCATTATGTAAGTCAGGGTTCCTTAGCCTAACCTGCCTGTCAGAATTCAAAGGGCTCTCTGACCTAAATCCCACACTGTCCCCATCCTCTACTATGAGCACCCTAGGGTAGTGCACTCACTTTCTGGGAAGCCACAAATTTCCTGAAAGCCAGGTTAAGTATACCTATACCTGCTCTCTGACCTAAATCCCACACTGTCCCCATCCTCTACTATGAGCACCCTAGGGTAGTGCATTCACTTTCTGGGAAGCCACAAATTTCCTGAAAGCCAGGTTAAGTATACCTATACCCTAAGGGCATCTCAGTCCAACACAAAGGTGGCCCTTCTTAGAGCGGGAAACTAATCACAGATGCTTTAGATCCAGAGGGGTTGCCAGGTAGGAAGAGCAACTAGCTTAAAGCGTAGGAGCCCTCCGGTGCCACAAAACAAGCCCCTGGTATTTCCTCAAAATCTGCTGCCTTCACTTTGACTCACTGCAGGCCCTATCTACACAGTGGTTTGCCCTTCTTTCACTGGTTGAGGACTGTAAGATCAAACTGTTTCCTACTTCTAACTATCTGCGTCCCTCACCACACTGGTCCCTAAGTCCTCCATGTCCCCTTATCACTCATCACCATCCCCTCTGCCCCTTTCTCGTCTTATGGCTGCGAGTCTTCTCCCAAAGTAAATCCTCATAAAGCATCTCCTGCTTGAGCTTAAAAAAAAAAAAAAAAAAGCAAACTTGCATCTAACCTGCTGGTCTGATCTCACCAATGCTGCCATGCTGCCCTTATACGTTTTACATAATGTCCAGCAGTCATACCTTTTCTAATCAAGATGTGAATTTGAGAGTACCTTCTATTATCCAGGGATACCTAACAGACCAAGAAAGGCACCTGCAAAGTCTTTAAATACTACTGTTTATTGTCTATTTCCGCCCAACAACTTCGTCGGGTTCTCAGTTGACTTCTCTGAGACTTAAAACCGTTGGCGGATCTAGTGTGTCCTTAGTTATAACTTCACACACGTCATATGGGCTTTAGAAGAACGCACTGTATTCGAGGCACTAAAAGTGTCAAGCCCTACACTGAGCTGCAAGATTCGACGGCCTGTACAGTTCCGAGGAATAATATTCGGGGCCATGAATCTGTAACGAAACTACCACTTCTCCATACATCTGAGCTACTGGCGCGGGGGGCGGGTGAGGTGATCATTCCAAAAGGATACTTGATTCCCCTGGCGGGTGAGTTCCCAGACGTGCAGGAGGAAAGATGCGCGCCTAACTCCCCACGCGGCGTACACCCGGCCTGGGGAGGTACCTGAGAGCGGTGGCCGGTCGGGCTCCTGGCCGCCGCGGGCGGGCGGCGCGGGGTTGAGCAGGTGCGCGAAGCTGGCGGCGAAGGGGTTGGCGGCGAGCGGCTCGGTGCGGTACATCTCCCACAGCAGGTAGAGCGCGGTGAGGCGCTGCGCCGCGCTGGGCAGCAGGTCGGGCTGCTGCAGCAGCATGACGAGCACCGAGCCCAGGCGGAAGTGGTCGGCCTTGCTGAAGTAGTGGTGGAAGGCGGTGGACAGGCCCTC